CCCTTTTCGATTACAGCGTTGGACTGAATGATATTGTTCAACTGTTGGTCAGACAGAGCCCAGCAGTGCTTCCTGCTGCCAGTAAGGAAAAGGACTCTGAGCTCTCGGACACGGACTCTGGCTGCGGCTCCGGCCAAAGCGAATCTGACAAAAACTCCCACAATGGAGAAGGGGCCATGGAGCTGGAGGGTCAGCCCAGCACGGCGGCGCAGGCCGACTGGGCTGACCCCGGGTTCGGCCTCTATAAGGTGAGTCACCGGAGAATGAAGATCGCTTAAAAGAGCACCCTGCAAAAGGCAGTGTTTTTCCGTAGCTGAGGCTTCCTGGAAACCTCTCATACCTTAATCACCCCCTTCTTTAAAGGGTAGAAAAAAAACAAACCGCACTCCCTTCCAAGGAAAGAGCAACAAAAACCCCCTCAATCAACTCGCAAACCAATCAAATGCAGAATGTTTCAGTTCAAAATATCTTGTATTTTATCCTTTAAATTAAAATTACAAATCTTAATATTTGAAGTGCTTAKTTTGATTTTTTTGAAAAAATTCCCTGTATTTTAATTTAGAATCACTGGATTCATGAAAGTTCATCTGTTTCAGTGGACGTTACTGCAGATCTAGTGGTGTCTCCACCAGACTGCGAGCAAGATAGACAGTTTAGATAGAAGTCTGCTACAGACTAACTAATCAAGGTTTGTTCTAGGGGACAAAGCTGTTTGTGCATGTTGGTCTAGGAAGGATTTTTAGCTTTAGAGGCTCAATCTGAGAAAAAAAAAAACAGAGGTGCACCAACAAATTTATAATATCATCAGTTGGATACCTTGATAATGACAAGTTTCTTGAGAKGGTTAAATCTTCAAGTAGTTCTGAATACTAATGCTTAACTTAAATGCCTGTTGGTGAGCCGCGTTCTTTGCTTTGCGTAGATCAATGACTTGGTTGATGCTCGAGATATGAACATGGGAGCCTGGTTTGAAGCTCAGGTTGTAAATGTGACGAGAAGAAAACCTACAAAAGAATCAGCTGGTAGCTGTGCAGAGCCTGATCAGCCCACAGCCGTTCCTGAAGAGGATGTAATTTATCACGTGAAATATGAAGAGTGAGTTTGGTTACTTTCTTAGCTAATTGTTATCTGTAGGGTTAATAGGGAATTTGATTATGGAGATCCACAAGGTAACATAATAGTRGACGGGCACAGTAATTAAATTAGAGCCCTGCTAAGTATAAGGGAAACATTTGTGGGTTAAGATCATGGTGTTAGAATAGGAGATGCATTTACCCAAGTTTTAGAAGGCGGAGCGTATGGAAAAAAATGCCTGATTCTGGCTATGACTATTGGGGAAGAGAYGGTGTTTTTAGCAACATTCTCGTATGTTGTGTGTCATCAGAAGCGGGTCTGTCTAGATTGACTCTATCACATAGAACAACTCATGTTGAATCCAACGTTTTGTTTCTGCTCTTCCGTGTATCCCCAAAGCTATCCAGAGAATGGAGTTGTAGAACTGAGTTCGAAAGATGTACGTGCTCGCGCGCGGACTGTTCTGAAGTGGCACCARCTGGAAGTAGGGCAGGTGGTGATGGTCAACTATAATCCTGACGAACCAAAAGAGAGAGGATTTTGGTATGATGCTGAGATTCTGCAAAAACTGGAATCAAAAATGATCAAGGAGATAAACGCAAAGATATTACTTGGGTAAGCAGTTTTGAGAACAAAAATGTATTGCACAATTGAAGTCCCCAACTCTGATTATCTCTTCACGAGKCCTGACGAGTGACACTGCTGCTAAAATGATGCAATAAAAAGAGTGTCGTGAAAACACTTGGTAGAGATGAGGGGCTGGGCTACTCTTTGCAGGTGATTGACTTTGCAGTAGTGAAGTTTTGATTAATTCTCATCAGAGGAAGTTTATAGAGATAACCTGAATCCCTGAATGCTATGAGTGTATGGGTTCTCATAGGACAAAAGGGAGTACTTTTAAGTCGTGTGAGTGCCGTTTGGTTCATGGTGGTGCTGCCAGGTCTTGTCTAAGATCGTGTGATGCCCCAACAGAGGTTTCTTGTGGTACAGAACTAATATGAGACCGTCCTGCATTCCTGATGTGTGTGTGTGTGTGTGTGTGTAGCTGTGAGTTTAACCGTATTAAACTTTCAAGGTTTGATCTCTTTGACTTTTTTTGAACTTTCCTGTGTAGGGATGCTGGTGATTCCTTGAATGACTGCAGAATTACATTTGTGGATGAAATTTATAAAATTGAAGAACCAGGCAGTGCCTGTCCACTTAGTGCCAGTCCATTAAAACGTGAGTTTGTTTCATGGATCTCATATGTAAATCCAATCTTGTGACTTTTTTTTTTGCCAGGGGTCATTTGATACCTTCAAAGTCTAAGAGTTCTAACATGTGCAATTGTGATCCCTTCAGCTATTTGTCGTATAAGGTAACATTTCCTGGAGTTTGAAGAAGATTGTGGTTTCTTTGTGCTAACAGGACAGAGTGGACCTGTGTGTAAATCTTGTAAGGACAACCCCAACAAGACCTGCCGAGTTTGCGCTTGCCATATCTGTGGAGGTAAACAAGATCCAGATAAACAGCTAATGTGTGATGAGTGTGATATGGCCTTCCACATCTACTGCCTCAACCCTCCCCTTAGTTGTATCCCCGACGATGAGGATTGGTAAGTTACAAATGAGCGGGTGGTACCACAACTAGCACGTAGATCAGGCGCAGAAGCCACGTTGGGGGCTTCATGCTTCCCTTAGGTGACAGTGTTGTGACTCGGAGATGCGTGCTCCTGTGCCGTGTTCTTGGTACCCTTCTTTGAACGTCAGCCTGGTGAAAGCCTGTTTTTGAGGCAGTGGCTTTTGTGTTTGTTTTGCAGTTGGGGAACCAAATGCATTTTTCAATGAACTGCAGACACCTATAAACCAAATGCAAACATGTCAGTAGGCTTCACTCCTGTAACGATGGTTTTTATGGTTCCTTTACGGGGAGTTCATGGGCCTTTGGTTGAAAATGACCTTTGGAGGTTTTCTTCTGTGTCCTGTTTCAGCATTTTACACTACTTTTGATATAGCTGACTGAGTGATCGCCAATAGTTCGAAAGATCATGCAAGGACACTCATTGATACATACTTAATTCCAGCATGGAGAGTTGCTTCATTGTCTAGTTTCAAAGGGAAAACTTGTTACATTATAACTTGGTATATCTTGAGGAATTCTCTTTTAACGCAAGGTTTTGCTCCTAGTTAATTTTCATTGACTGGTGACTTTAGGTATTGCCCTGAATGTCGAAATGATGCAAGTGAGGTGGTTTTAGCAGGCGAGAAATTAAAAGAAAGTAAAAAGAAACAAAAGATGGCATCTGCTAATTCATCTTCACGAAGAGACTGGGGAAAGGTCAGTTTAAAAGTTGCTGTTTTTGTTGTGAAGAATAGTGTGTGCAAGTTCCTCATAATTCTTGGCTGATCGGTGTTGCTCTTTGCAACAGGGTATGGCATGTGTTGGTCGCACAAGGGAATGTACCATTGTCCCCTCTAACCACTACGGACCCATTCCGGGGATTCCAGTTGGCACCATGTGGAAGTTCAGAGTTCAGGTACGAAACTGAATCCTGGAATGAGACACTGGAAGGGAAAATGGGATTGAGAGAAGTCTTCTACAGAAAACCTGTAGCTGTTATCTCCGAGCACGTGTTGTTGGAGGTGTGCCTGCAGGCAGGAAAGAATTCTGGCTTTGTCTACAGCATGTGCTCCATAACTAATGTTGTGGGCATTTCAAAGGTTTATGCCTTTTCAGTAACATCTGCAGTGTTGTAAAATTCTTGTTTTCTTTAATAAATAATTGAGGTGAGAGACTCAAATTTCTAATCTCCATCAGAAAGCCTTCCATGTGGTCAACTTGCTGAGACGCCCAAATACTTATTTTTAAAAAGTTTCAAAAATTTCAAGACCAGCAGGTAGTCACGTTGGTTGTAGCATCTCAGGAGTAGCTGCCTGCAAACTTCTACTTTTTCCTTCTTTTTTCCTACCCCACAGGTGAGCGAGTCTGGTGTTCACAGGCCCCACGTGGCAGGTATACATGGCAGAAGCAACGATGGTGCCTATTCCCTGGTGCTGGCAGGAGGCTATGAAGATGACATAGTAAGTGACTCTTGATTACTTGTATTTGGGCACCAGCCTAGCTAGCTCCTTGTAGTTAAAACAAGGACTTAATTACTTCTTGCATTCTGTGTGAGACATTTCCTCATCTAGATGTTACTTATGCTCTTCAGAATAAAGCTAAACAAAGGAAAACTGCAATACAGCAGCATGTGTCAAGCTGAGAAACGAGGTCAGATGAATTCAATTTAACATCTGCATGTTCAGCTCTCAGTCTGGGAACCCTTAGCTGCCTTTCCAGGTTTGCCATTTCATCCACAGCTTGAACAGAGAATTTTGCTGTATATTTTGACAGATCTTCCTGTGTTGGAAGAGTGTTAAGCACAAAACCTGGGGTAGAAGTGCTAATTCTGAACATACCTGCTCAGTTTTGATAGCTAAGCCTAACCCTGACTGGCTTTACCAGAGATTACTGCTTGTTCTTCTTGCAGATTATCAGTGTATTGCTAGCTGTCCCCTTCCTCCCCCAAAAGCCCATTAAACCTCGTGGGAAACAGATGGCCACAAATGTAAAATATATCTGGATTGATGTTGCAAATTTAATTCTGCGTTACAAGGCCATGTGGTGGTGCAAATACTGAGACATAAGTTACATAATTGAGAACATAAAATGTACTTGTAAGCACAGTTTGTGTGCGGGAAGCACTGCTATCTTGGCAGAGGTCTCTGCACTGTCAAGGTGTGTGATGAGAGAGTTGCTACTCTGCCTCTTCTATGTTCCTCTTGGTAATAAAAGAGGATCTTAGCAAACTGGTTCAGGGAGAATTAAACAGAGAAATCAGAAATGTTTTCCTGCTTCAGAATAAAAGACTCTTCTCATGCTTTGTTTTGAATTATTTTGTGAATATGTCAAAACCATCCATATGTTTCAGGATCATGGAAATTCCTTCACCTATACAGGGAGTGGAGGTCGTGATCTTTCTGGAAACAAACGTACAGCAGAGCAGTCTTGTGATCAGAAACTCACCAACATGAACAGGTGGATAATACTTACATTCCATTCGGAAACTTAGTAGCTGGCAATCTGTCAGTCTGGAAAATTCTTTAGCCAGTCCATGTCAAAAGAAACCAGCTAAGCAGGGAAAAAAAAAAAACAAACAAAACCAAAGTTAGGTTTCTGCCGCCCTGTACGCTGCTTCTAGACTATTTCTTCTAGCCCAAAGTAAAGGAAGCAGAACTGTAAGTGGGATTAGTCTTAGATTAATGTTGACTGAAATCTAAGGAGCAGGGGGAAATTAGTGTAGAGATTTACATACTTTCCTGAAGACCTTTTGCAACTTYTTGTTTGAGCTGTCTTGGGAAAGAGGCTCATGCAAATTCTAAATTGAACTTGGAAAAGCTAAACAGGCGCTTTTCTTTTGGTTTGTTTGTTTACAAACTGTCACTCTTTACATACAAGTGTGTTTTTGTGTGGAGAGAGGATGACCCAAGCAGTTGCAGTGGGATAATATAATGAATATTTAAAATACAGTCTCTAGTAAGAATGCTTAATAACTGTCTCCAGAATTCCTATCATATAAAAGATGCTTGATAGTATTATTTAAATTTAAAACAAAAYAAAAAGACTGGCTGCATTCTTTCCCCAGAGGAAATTAAACATGGGCTTCTTTACCTGCAACGTGGTGGGAGCTTCCAGGTTTTGGGCAGGCCATTGCTGTGGTTCATTACCTGCAGCAATGTATTCCTCTGAACAACACAGTGCAGCTAAATCTCTTATTAGATGGATTATCATGTGTGCTATCATCTGCGCTATCCTCCCTCTGATTCTGGGGCAGTCTGTCTGGTAAATAATTACAATTAATCAACTTTCTATTATAGAGCTCTGGCTCTGAACTGCAGTGCCCCCATTAATGACAAAAATGGAGCTGAAGCCAAGGACTGGAAAGCCGGAAAGCCAGTCCGAGTGGTGAGGAACGTAAAAGGAGGCAAACATAGCAAATATGCTCCGGTAGAGGGGAATAGATATGATGGAATATATAAGGTAAGAAGGATTTGTGTTCTTCTGCTGAATTAGGGAAGGATAATTCAATTAGGATAAAAGAGGCTTTATAGTTTCTAGCGGACTTACTTCTGTCTCCTTTTTAGGTGGTCAAATACTGGCCTGAGACGGGGAAATCTGGATTTTTAGTGTGGCGCTACTTACTTAGGAGGGATGATGAAGAACCTGCTCCTTGGACCAAAGAAGGGAAGGACAGGATGAAAAAGCTTGGCTTAACGATGCAGGTACTCCTTTGGAATGCTGCCATTCTTATTTTGTTGCGAGCCACACAGAATCTGTGCTTTCAGTGTAGCAGGGCATGGCCCAAGCAGTTGATCCCTTGTTTAACAATAYTCTAGTGATGATAGGAAAACTCTGAAAAGTTAATCCTGATGTTAGACCTGCTCTGAGCAGGAGGTTAGATGAGAGGACCTGCAGAGGTCACCTTTCGAATCTGTAATAGTCTGTAAGTATTGGAATTGGCATGTTTGCACTGAATGATTTTTGTTTTGTTTTTCCTGTAGTATCCTGAGGGGTATTTGGAAGCTGTTGCAAATAAAGATAAAGAAAAAGAAAATAACGGGGAAGAGGAGTTTGATACCCCAGGGAAAGGAAAGAGGAAAAGGAAATCAGCAGGTTTGTGGAGTAGGCAAGTGAATATAGCAAGCCTTGTAGGTTTGGGGGTATTTTGCCCAGATAATCTTCTGCGGTTGCTTTTTTTTTGTTCCTTTTAAGAAGTCACATTTTTCTTTCAGGTGGGGAGGAAAAGGTCGTTACCTCCCCTACAGGGACTCCAAAGAAAACTAAAGTTGAACCATACAAGCTGACATCTCAGCAAAAATCCCTTATAAAAAGTGATGAAGCCAATGAAAAACTGTGGAATGAAGTACTAGAAGCTCTCAAAGATGGACCGGTAGATCATGCTTTTTATTCCAGAAATATTGTCAATTAATTACTGTGTAATTATTAGACCTATACCTCTTGGCTGCCTTAAGAAATAATCTCTGAACACTAGCTACTTTTTTSTTTCACTGTAGGTACCCCTCCACAGGATAACTTTATAGCACTGTATTTGAGGTCAGTTTAAAAAAGATAGGGGCTTGTTAATGTGACACCTTCATTTTCTCTGTGAACTTTGCAGGAAAAAAAAAAAAATCAGGACAGTCAAAACAATCTCTTGCATTTTACTGCTTTTTTTAGGTTGCTTTGTACGCTGTTCTTCCAGAGAGTAAGAGTGAGAAGTTGACTGAAACTTGTTTTATTATTACAGAAATTTCTAAGTAAGGTTGAAGAGGCCTTCCTGTGTATTTGCTGTCAGGAGGTTGTGTTTCGGCCAGTGACAACTGTGTGCCAACATAATGTGTGCAAGGTGAGTTATCTGGTACGCTTCTACCAACTGTAGCTTAGCAGCAAGCCTTAAACTAACTAAATAGGAGTGAGAGAGATTTTATTGCCAAGMGTTAGTCTGTTTTATATTGTGAAGGTTATATATGAAAACTAATGATTTAGCTTTTTTTTTAGCATATAAAAAGTCTGTGTTTTGTAGAAGTTACACTACGATATTGCTGTTGTTTGACTTGAAGAAGGAGCAAGGGAAGCTCTGCTAGTGCTACTAGGTTACACCACTGGACTTGCTGGCAGGGTTGCAGAGTGTATGGTTTTCTTCACAGTTTTCCCCAAAAATAAAGCAAAGACTTTTTGCAGAATCCTTGTCTTTAACAATGGCAGGGGAATTCTCGATCTTTAGCAGTGCAATCGTATGAAATAGCAATACCATATACTTGAATACTCTGCCCAGGGCTACCACTGTCTTAAGAACATTACTGTGCTTAAGAAGAGGAGAAAAATCCTTGTTCCCAGCTGCCTGTCTTGCATTGTTCTCAGCTGTTCCCAGTTCTAGTGAACCAAGACATAAAAGGCATCTCATTCTCCAACAGGGACATACAAAGTAAGCTAAACTGCATACCTCTRTTCCTTACCTGCTTTATTTTTGTCTTTCATCAGGATTGCTTGGATAGATCCTTCAAAGCTGAGGTGTACAGTTGTCCAGCCTGCCGTTATGATCTTGGCAAAAATTATACCATGCAAGTGAACGAAACACTGCAGACCATTCTAACTCAGCTCTTTCCTGGATATGGCAATGGACGGTGATTTTGTAAAGCACTTCTAATTTCTTTTGTTCAAACTTATTAATGGGTTTTCAATGGGCTTAATTTAAAGAAGTAGTCTCTGTGTTCTCCCAGATCCCTAAAAAGAGAAAAAAAGAAAAAAAAAAAAAAAAAAGCTTAAAGTCTTCCTTGATTTTTAAAAAGAAAAGAAAAAAACAGGAACTATAAACCTCGAGGAATCTCCTCTTGTACGTTTGTGGGTTTTGTTTTTGTTCTAAATATGGCTTTTTTTTTCCTGAAACCTGCCATTCATCAACACAGACTCCACCTCCAATTCTTATTTTTTTAAAATTCTTTTTTTTTTTAACATGGACTTACAAAATGCTTCCGGTAAGGCTGCTGACAATTGTGAAAGTTCTTGGAGTGCCCTTCACCCCTCCTTTCTTTCCTTGTCTCTCTAAATTCCCCCCCGAACGGCTTGTGCTAGAACAATCTTCAAAGTTTGTGGATTTGGCCATAAGGGTTGACTTGTGTGTCGCCTTGGCAGCATTTTGATGCTCAGTKTGTACAAGATGGTACCTGGCTTACGTTCTATTACCACAAGTGGATATTGACTATTTTCAAATAACTATTTTTATATGTCTGACAGACTATCAAAAGCCATTTTTCTGCTAATCTTGTGTATCAAAAAATTAAAGCTGCTTGCATATGACCAAGTAGTTGGAGCAATATGAAGTACTACCTCAGTTGGACTTCTCTCTTATTAGGGAACTATTTGTTCAGCCAGGTGCTGTCTTCTCTCCAGAAATGCCATTGTGGAATATACTAAAGCCATTTCTAAGTGCCTTTTGTCCTTTTTTTAAAAGACTGGGCTCTGAATCACCATACATGTTTTTTTTGTAAGCACTGAATTTTAAACTTGGCAGCCGCATTTTACTCTTTGGATAAAATATAACACTGTAGCTGTATATGATTAGTATGGACTTGCAAACTTTCAGGTTTCCTCCTAATGCTAGCTGTATAATGGTAACATGACCTTCTTTGTTTCACTGCATTTCTACCTGGAAATGGAGAATAACCAATTCTGAATCTTTTTTTATGAAACATTTTGTTTATTGTACATGACACCAAGAAGGCCTACTTTTGTGTATGGGTTGTCTTTTTTCTAACATTGCCAAAGTTTGCAGTTTACCTCAACATGACAGGGATGTTTTAATCATACTTTACTGCAGACAGACTGGAACAAATGTGCCTGTTTTTGGATTTCTTAACTCTTACCCTTTTTAAATTTATAATGTTAATATGTTAGGGGAAAAAAAATGTTTTATAGGATTTTTTGCTAATTTGTCAATTTTTTTGTACAATGTGCGAGTTGAAGTTCTCAAAATAAATATCTTTTCAGATTAAAGTGTTGACCGTTTTCCTTTTCCTCTCTTTCTCTGCCTTCTAGACCTATTCACTTGTGAGAGAATTTATATTTGTTCCATTATGCTATCTTTTCTAAGATATCAATCTTTTCTAAGACATACTTTTTTTCCCCATTTGAGAGGTTGTGAAAAGAGAATTTGCTTTTAAGCAATAGTAAGTTCTGTTTCGTTTAAAACAAACAAACAAACAAAAAGAAAAAGTGAAATGGGACTCTCCAGCTCTTTTCTTTTACCTTTTTGGAGTAACTTAAGGGGTTAGTGCTTTGGAAATGTAAATATGAAGTGGGACTCTGAATTGGCTGCATATTTAATGGAGGAAAAAAAAGTTAAACTACCATGTCATGTGTCATATAGAGATGTTTATATCAGCTAGTATGAGCATTCATATCAACATCTCAAAATGGAGAAATCGAAACATTCAGTTTGCCTAGACAAACGCAGCTGAAATAAATGAAGAACCCATGCAGGCATTAAAGATGTTGGAAATGAAAGCTGTGAAACTGTACAACTGTTACTTAATCTGCCCTCTTTAAAAGCAGTGTATTTTCAGGTCAGTGTTAGCTTCAGTAAAYTTGCACATTTCCAATTTCTGATGTTTCTACTGAAATTGCCCTACTTCACATTATAAATTGCAATGACAAGAATTTGGGTGCAGGGGAAAATGAGCAAGTCTGTGCCTAAACAGAAGGAGAATTTGTTGCAATTACTTCCTTAGTATGTTTTCTTATTATTATGTGGAATTTGGAAAACAAAACATATTTTCCTGCATGGTCTTTCAGTGTTGTTTTCTGCTTTTTAGTGTTTATTTACCATAAACTAGAACTTCTAGCTAGGGAATTCCCATCCTCCTTCCCAGACGGAGTACAGAATCTATGATCTGCAAATTAAAAAATGCCCAGCACTTCTTTACCCTGGCAGGCATCATGGCCATGTAATTGCAGCAGGTAGGGAGGATTTCCATCGCTGGAGTGGCCGTGAGAGGAGGAYGGTAACAGGTACCTGGTGCTGCAGCCAGGGAGGGCAACCTGTAGCTCCGGCATCCTGGCAAACCCTGAAGGAGAAGGGGTAAAACGTGAGCAGCCTTATCAAAGCCTCCCAGCCAAGAACCCCTCCAGAACCAGCCATGCAGCCATAGCAGGGTGCCAGTGGGGTTAGAGGTGGGAAATGGGAATTAACCTACTGCTCCTAATGAAGGAGCTGCCAGGGGCAGGCAGGAGACAGTGCTGTGTTGCTAGCTGATGACTTTTATATATATATATATAAATATTTATCTTTTTAAAGCTCTCTTTGAGTCATGGAGAGAACCGCTACCTGAGAACGGAGTGAACCAAAAACTGCTATCCCAGTTTTATAAAGCTTGACCATGCACTYGCTGAACCGCTTTTTCCCTTTCTCTTGTAATTCCACTACATAATGTCTTTATCTTTTTCTAACTGCAGGGCTGGTGCCAAGGCTCTGATCTTGCCATAACTTAAAACACCGTCCAGGAATGGCTCRGGTCTCATGAAGGAGGATTTACTTCAGGCAAGTCTGGGGGTGAGAGGCCTTATGAGGCTGGTGGCCTTTTCCTGGCCCTGAGGGGATGACTCTAGTGTCGAGGGCGAGCAGGGCCCCTGGAGCCCAAGGCCCCTCGCCTTTGCCCCTGCCGCCCCAGCCTGAGCAGAGGCCGCTTCACCTCGGGGCCATCGTGCCCAGGGGCCGCGAGGGCTGCGGTGATGGCGGAGCGGGTCCCGCCCAGGCCTCCCACCTGCCCCGCCGCCATGAGGCGCTGCGGGGGGCGGGGCCTTCCGGCCCCATTGGCGCAGGGCGCCCGCAGCGCCCCCACCCCCGCGCGCTGCTGTGCGGCTCCTCACGTACTCACCGCCCTGCGCCCCAGCCGGAGCGCCGCGCTGACGGGCACCCCGCGCCTCCTATCGCCGCCTGCCTGGCCCAGCTCTCACCCAATAGCAGCCGGGGGGAGGGCCACTCTCTTCCCTGGGCCGTGCCCCATTGGTGGGAAAGGGGCTGAGCGACGCGAGCACGACTGCCTTGCCCTGCCTGGTGGTAGGCGGGCGGCTGCCCCGGCGCTCTCCGCCAATCACCGAGCGCCTTCGCCTTGTTGTTCGCTGCCTGGCAGCACCACAGGCAGCGGCGGCCGCCACTCAACGGCGGCGCGCCCAATGGTCGCGGAGGTGGCGGCGCCGGCCGCCAATGAGCGCGCCGAGGGGGCGGGCGGCAGGTGCTGGCCGTGGGGTATCGCCGATATCCCCCCCGCCGCCCCCCTCTTCCGCTCTCTGCCCCCCTCGCTGTGGTGACCGGGAGCCGCGGGGCCGCCGCCGGGCAGCGCCGCCGCCTCAGGTACGGGGCGGCCGCCGCCTCGCCCTCCCCCCGCGCTCCCCGCCGCCCGCGGCTCCACCCCCGCGCCCGGGGCGCTTTAACCCCCCGTGCGGCCGCCCCGCTCCGTCCCCTCCGACCTTCTCCCCCGCGCCCCGCCGTTTGCTCACGGCGGGGCCTGCTCGAGCCGCGGCCTCGCCGCCTCTCCCCGGCGCTGCCTCCCGCTTCCGCGGCCGCCGGTCCCTTCGTGCGCCGCCGCCTCCTCCTCGCGGCCCGGCCCGGCCCTCGCCCGGTCCCGGGCCCCGGCGCCGAGCGGCCCCGCTTTGTCTCGGGGCGCCGCTTCCGCCCTATTCCCCCGCACCAGCCGCTGCCTCGGGCTCCGCCGCCACGTTTCGCCGTGGGGGCTGTTGATCCCCGTCGGTTTTGAGGGTGGGCGGCGCAGTCCCCCCGGGGAAGGGGGATCCTCAGGGTTGGGGGGGGGGGGGCAGCCTGTTTTGGGCGATCGCGGCTGCGTTTGCGGGAGCGAGCACAACAAATCACCGCGGGGGTGGCGGCCGGGGCCGCCCCGCGGTGCGTGGCGAGGGGCCGGGCGCTGCCGGGGGTCTGCGCCCCGATCCCTGCACGCCAAGGGCCTGCGGAGAGCAGGGAGGTGACAGTGGCCTCCCCTCCTCCCCAGACACTGTCAGAGTCTGGGGCCAAAACTGCCACCKCCCCCTCAATAACCCCCGCATTAAGGGAAACCTCTGCATTTACCCCTGGAACTGCCTTCCCCTTGCCCAGCGGTCCGGACCGCCAGCGTTGCACCATGGAGAAGTGAGGTGCCGGCTCCGGGGCGGTTGCTGCCCRCAGGATTTGCCTGTCCGGCCCTGCGCCGCTGCCCTTTCCCGGCGCTCAGTTGCATTTTTCAAACAGAAGATACATGGAGGGGTTTTCTCCTGCCATGTAGCGCTTGGCGGAAGGGGGAACCATTCAGGAAACCCTTCTTATTAAGGGGGTGCTTATGCTTTCATTTAAAGCTGCCTTTGATCTCTTTTTTTCTTCTTTAAGATGATATACATGTCTGTGTTGGAGTTACAGAAAGACTAATTTGAAACCCCTGTTCTTGGAAAGGCTGAAATCAGGAGGTAGTTTTGGGTTTGCGTGTGTTTTTAAACTTTGTGCATTGAATGAAAGCTGCTCTCGAGGAGAGATGCTG